TGCTACTAAGTTTTGCAAGATCCGTCTCAGAAGAACACAAAAACTCTCCGATCACACTCTTAATCTCATGAATGTTAGACAGGAGATAAAGCTGCAGTCGTCAGCAGATTTGACAGCATACAGGAAACTGAACAGACAGATCTCCAAACAGGACAGGACTTACGCAACTTCAATATAGCTGGTATTGAAGAAGCGATTGAGCGGAACCGGGGCTCCAAAGTCTTTGCCAGAGATCTATCTGCCAGAAAGAGCCAACTATCGAAACTAAAGACCGTGTGTGTCGTCATTGTTTCCGGGACACCTGAGATTTTGAGTGAGATTGAGAGGTTCTATGGACAGCTGTACACATCATCGTTGGAGCCACACGTAAGTGTGAGTAACGATCCAAGAGCATGTCTTATCCGACACTATTCCGATGATATCCTGGACGTCAGTCTGAGCGAGATTAAAATGGCTCTCCAGCACCTTAAAAACGGCAGGTCCTCGGGCGAGGATGGAATAACACTGGAGCTTCTGAAAGAGGGTTGAAAACCGGTACTTGAAGTCCTTCAGAGGCTCTTTAATTCCATCCTCCATGGTGGCACTACTCCCGAGGCGTGGAGCAAAAGTGTGGTGGTCTTGTTCTTCAAGAAAGGTGACACGCAGATCGACGACTTCCAGTCTCCCGAACAAGTCGGTTTCCGAAAAGGCTTTAGCACCATATACCACATACATACCCTTCGGCAAATCGTAAGGAAGTTTGAAGAGTACAATCTGCCACTTTGCCTGGCGTATGTGGACTATGAGAAAGCCTTTGATTCCGTCGAAATTTGGGCGGTGCTACAGTCTCTTCAGCGGTGCCAAGTTGACTGTCACTATATCGAAGTGCTGAAGTTTTTGTACAGTAGGGCTACGATGGCTTTCCGTCTTCTTGTCAGGTATACCTCAAAACCTGTAAACGAAATTATACAACCAATGCGTGTTGCCAGTGATGACCTTATGAACTGAGACGTGGTCCTTCACTGCTGGCCGTATGAGGACGCTCAAGGTCGCTCAACGGGCTATGGAGAGGTCTATGCTTGGGGTTTCTCTGCGTGATCAACTTAGATAGGAGGATATCCGCAGTAGAACCCGAGTGACCGACATAGCCCAACCAAAAAAAACCCGACCGGCAACCTCGTACCGGTAGGCGAAGTGTGGGGCGACCCGCCACTAGTTGGAGTAACGACCTGGTAAGACATGCAGGAAGTCGAATGATGCAGGTCGTCGTATTTTCGAGCTTTAATTTTCAGTCTAGTTGAGTGCAAATTTTGCATTTCCTCAAAACTTTTTGCAAAAAAAGACCTTTTCTTTGGGGCAGCAACATCCATGGCTCTTCAAGCCGCAACTTATATGAAATTTCTCCCGATGGAGAATACATGACTGCGCGAATATCAGTGACTTTAAGATCTTCCAATGATCGTCCAGGGTAAATACTTTTGTAGCTTGGAATATTACGGAAATCTTTGAAAAAATAATGTTCCAAACACTTGACATCAAATTGATTATTGCACGCAGACTCAATAATTTGAACGTAGTCCGCAGGAATGTTTATGTTTTTATTACGCATTCTCCGTTCTATTAAAGAATGCATAGTATCCACTTCCATTTGTTTATAACCGACTTATAAATATTTCAGCTCGATAGTTATTTTGTTTTTAACTGCCATATTTAATAGCGCATTTGACATAGTCACATTGCGATTTATATAACTAAAGCCATCACAATAATAATAATACGTATATCTGTTTTGTTTCCACTTTAGCTAGAATCATTTTCTCGATACAGTATGTCCAAATAGAAGCATACTTATCTTCTATTTGAACATTACTGCATTATCTGCATTCCGTTTTTTCCGTTTCATTCCATACAATCAATAGCTATCTTTGCTAATATTATTATAAAAACACAGATTAAGCACATGAAGCTTTGTTTTGTAGTACAATGTACAGGCATTTGACTTAGGTGTCATTAATACTGCTGGAAGATCTACTGTGAATACAAGACTATTGTTCGCTTTATCTGTTTGTTTTTCTTTTCTAGCTTCTTATTTTTCAATACATGTAATTGGTAATCATGTCCTTCCATCGTCCCAGCCTAATATCCTGCACATATTTCACTCTCGTCCTTTTTGGGTCTAAATAGAGAAAGATATGACATGATATGATATAACCACACAGAAAGTAGTTGCAGTGCGCTCTCATTTCTGCCATGCGCCCTCCTTTCTGCCAAGGAGGGTCGCGTCCATTTACGGTTTAAAGATCTCTCGTCAGATCGTTAAGCCAATCCCCAAAAGGTGGTGTTTAGTGGGTAAAAGTCTCCACATAACCACGCAGCCGGTTGTGTGGTATGCTATGAGCATTCACCATCTCCTTCCCCCGTTACCGGAGGGTTGCCCTTATTTGCTTCTAGCGCAAAAAAAGTAGTTTTAGATAGTGGTTGTATGGTTTGCGATTTTCACCAGTCAGATACGTAAAACTTATAAAAATCAATTTTTGTTTTCCAATCAGTTTGCAGATATTTTTAGAAGATGAAGCCCGACAGTAATGGGATTCCATTGTTGGTAGATAGTCAAAAATTCGGCCATTGATTTTTGCCCGTTTGCAAAAGGGTTATCTCTATCTCTCTCTATCTTTATAAACTCTAAGTTTATAATTGCCGGCACGAGTCGTGAGCCCAATTTTTATTGGTCCATGGTAATACCAGATTCAGTTGGGTAGTCCATCATATTGATAACAATGTTTAATATGTTATATAGTGTATCTACTATTCCGATCAGCATCAAAATTATTGTAAATAATAGTATTTCCCTTATTAAGCAATATTTTTGTATTGTGAGCTAAACTGATAAGCTTCATAACCCTATCTGAAGCCATCCGTGGATAAAACAAAAGCAAAATAAGCCACCACACCAAGCATAGCACATAAATAATTGCACCATGCGAAAATTGAACCCAAAACCTTAGGATGATCGATATCTTTATCCTTACTATTGTGCCGTCGAACACCATTACAAAACCAAACACATTAAAGAACCTTAATCAGGTTCTTTAATTTTCAAACAAAGCGTTAAAATACCAAAACAAATTTATAAAACTCTCATGTAAAATAAAAATATCTAACTCCTAAACAATAAACGAAAAAGTAACTTATCATACAAAATACATTTCATTTGTGCTTTTGCATCAATTATGCTTAGATATATATGTATCAAATCTATAAACACATTATAGAATAGTACTTAAATTTTACATAAAATACCACTCACGTGCGAAGCTTCAAAAAAACATTATGTTTTAGAATAAAACTCTCGGGAGCACTGATAGTACTGCTCACGATACTAGAAGATGACGTCGAATGGCGGGAGTTAACATGGTTTCGCACGTGATTTGACAGGCGTGTAGTTAGCATAAATGATTGCGGAGCAAAATCTACAACCGGGGTTTAGTTTGCGTATTTAGCATGTTTGACGATTATGCGCTATTTTTTTCTCTTTCTTTTGACACCAAATAGTCAATTTAGCCAAAAATGGAGTTACTTAGAGTTTGCTTAGAATTTTTAGTAGAGTTAGCTTAGAATTTTTAGCCGAGGATATATTAACTAAACATTTAAGTTCACTTATGAAATTGCTAAAATGTATTAGCGCACAACGTACCGGGTCGTTATGTACCGGTAGCTAATATGTGTTTAGACTCGCTGACAGCTTCACTCGCTTTCTCTTTCTAACACAGGAAAGTACAGTATGGTGTGATAGCTCTCTTTTCCTCATAAGCCCAATCTATGGAGTTTATACTAGATCTATGCCACAAACTAATAAGAGTACTAAATAAGATACCTAAGTCTATGAGCATTAGTGACAAACTGAATATGTTTTATATACGTCTCTGGAACTGAAAGATATTGTTGTGATTACTTGGTGAGCGTCATAGATAAGGGAGGTGAGCGTACTACTAAGTCTATGGTAGTGAGTACAGTCCAGTCGGTAAAGTAGTTTTTAAAGTCAAGTATAGTTCTTTAAATAAACACTAGGTGGTGGTGTTAAAATAATATGCGTTATGTAGTTGCATCAAGGATATTATGTTGTATTCTTGTCTCTTTTCTTTTTAAGCTTCTTGTGTATACTTAATTGTATTTTGATTTGAAAATTAACCCTACGTAGCTGTAGGTAGGTAGTTTATCCCAAAGTTAGCAATTATGGCCAATCACGTATAAATTCGTTGAGAGGTCGAGCGACTTTATTGGTCATTTTTGCAATATATGGTAGCCATAACCTACATTATAACCCTACCAATCGTAAAGTGTATAAGTGAATGATATAAAGAAATAAGTTTAGCTGACGATATTTATTAGTCGTATTTTATATCTCAGGCTCTTTCGTGTTTCGTGCGCTGTTCTTGTTTGTTCGTATTCGTAAAGTTCCTTCGTTGTGTGTCACAGTTAGCATCATTTACGATCAAAAGAAAATAATTTAAGATAAAGTTTTTATTAAAATAATACGATAGTGCTTTCATTTAAGATTTAAGTATGTAATGTTATAATCACGTTATTTAACTAGTAAAATCAGTGTTTTTTTTAAAAATGTTCTGTTTTTACTTTGACCTTTTTACATTCTGAAGTGTCAATATGGATCCTAAGCTAATGAAAAATACAGTAGCATAATGATTCTGGCTACCTGTTTTACTAAGCGGTTTCAGAATGGGGCCGAAAAGGGCTCCGCCATAAAATTATTTAGACTTGTATAGCCCGTCATAAAGTCATTATCGTTACTATTCATGACACTTCTACATAAAAAGTGTTCATACTACATAAAAAGTTAGTTGAGGATGGTGAAATGTTCAGAGATCGCAGTGAGGCCGCGGAGCAATGATCGAAGGGTGGATAGAAATGCGAGGTGGAATTTCATCGCCACCATCGGTGGATCGTCGTTGGTCGCCTTCAGTTAGTGAGCAGCTGGCGTATGCGGAGTGTGATGAGTGTGCAAGATGTCAGGCAAGCCCGCGAGTGTGGCCGCGTCGCGGGCGGGCGTGGCGAGTGTGGCGGGCGTGGCGGGAGCGCCGCGCGTGCTGCTGTACGTGGCGGAGCGCCAGCTAGAGCCCGCCGCCGCGGGCCCCGACCAACTGCCCGCTGCCGCGCCGTTTGACGCGCTCTACATCCACGAGAACATACCGCACCAAGTCCCTTTGCCCCAGAATACTCTCTATAGAACCCAACCAGAACAGAATGATCAGAGGAACACCTGTGGAAACTTGTTCTACAAGCATCTAAATGATGAGGGTAAATTGAGTGCGTATGAAGCAACAGAGAACATTGTAACCCAAAGAAGTGATTTTTTCCCTGTTTCGCAACAGTTTTTAAAAGAACCTCCTTTAAAAGTTGAAGATAGTAAGAATATTGACAGGCCAAACAATGTTAATTTAAAAATAGATTCTACTAATTCTTTGTCTACAGAGTACAGCAGTGTAGAGACATTCCAAGCACGGGTTCCTGTAGAGACTGGGGAGATAGTAACATATCAGAGATGTCCTGTTAGTTCAGATAATATGCCCTCAATGCTTCCAGTGAGGCAACATCACACTCAAAATCAGTTTAATGAAAGTAGTGCAGTGCAAGGTGAAAGTGAGGGCACAAACAGCAGTGAGAGGGAGGTCTCTATGAATAAGGGTTATGTGAACTATCAGTTTTTAGAACAAAGTGCAACACATCAGTCTATTGTGAATCAAAGTATAAATATACTAAATCAGCAAATTGGTGTGAGTAGGACTATTGGTAGTGAAGGGGATAGTGGTAGTGCTCCACAGCTAGTACGCACTGCAGATGGTGTGGTTTTAGCTGTGTTACCATCATCTACCTTGCCTCATTGTACTGAAACAGAGTTTAGAACTGCACAGAGTGAATTTCCACAAACAATTACTGTGCCATTAGGTTGGAGAAGGATTGTGACTGGTGCTTCTGTACTATATATTAGGTATGTATTAACATTCTATTAACATTTGTTATATATCTATACTATTACAAATGTACTGTAGTAATTAACTCGGACAATGGTCATTTTACTCTAAAAGGGGATTAATTTGCTTTTAAGTGCTGTGAGGTTATAGTGTTCCTATTACTAAAACTATATCTATTATTGGATAACATAAAGCAATATAAACCAACTTAACATATTACCTGGATTTTGCTGTCAAAATATACTTTACTGATTAATAAAATCAGTTAAATCGGTTTAATTACTGTGAATATCATTATATATAAAATAAAAAAGAACATATTATAGTCAAATTGATAACTTTTTCTGTTACTTATTCTTGAAAATAAATATATATGTGAGAACATCGTATACTTCAGTAACACCAGATACAATACAAGGTGGTTAATTTTCACAGTTTGTGTCTTAAGTACAAAATCTATGAAAACATTACTGTGTGGGTATTTTAAATAAAACAAGAGTGAAAAACAAGCACACAATCCACCTGATGGTAAGTGGATGCTGTGACCCATAGACATCCACACTTACCTCGATTAAGAATCAAAATGTAGATGCATTGTCACCCCTGAGGACTAAGATGGAATACCTCAATTCCAGTAACACGGGTCTCTGGTTCTCTACACTCACCATAAGAAGCACAGCAGCATTAAGCTGCTATTTTATGCTGGTATTGGGTGTTCCTCAATCAATACCAAGGATTAATGAAAACTCTTATTGGCAGATTTCATTATGAACACTACAAATTTGAAAGATAAATGACTACAAAATTTGTCATACCATGAAGCATGTTATTAAATATGTTAAATCATAGCTTCTAATAATGCTTTTCTTTTCTATTACTCTTATGTAATATCCCCTTGTGTGGCAACCGGCCAGATTCTGGCCGATGGTTAATTACGCGCGTCTGGCAAGCGACCAGATTCTGGCCGATCCGTGACTGCGTATTTGGGGGGTAAAATAACCAGCGACAATGATTTCTATCACATTTTTACTTATAGAAAATTATAAACCAAAGAAAGAGGATGCGATACAAAGCTACTAAAGTACTGCCATGTTTAGAAATTTCGAATAAACGGCCTGTGTGGCAGTCGCATGCGAACGTCGCTTTTATGTGGTCGCCCGTCCCGGTTTTTGTCCTTATTTTTATTCGTAAATCGAACAAATAGTGAAATTTGGTGCTATTTAGACATGGAAGGGTTAATAACCAACAGTTTTTAATTCATAATTTAGAGATATGTATCCTTTTTATAAAAAAAAATCGAACATAAACCGTCGTTATACTTACTTACCTTACATTTATCTCTATTGTTGATTAAAAATACATTACATACTTTTTAGAAATGAAACTTTATCTAAATTAAGAACTTGAGCCATACTTAATGTTAAAATTATCGCAAGCCACTTGACTTGCTCATTTCTCAAAATAAAACTAACAATATATGCTATTTTTTTGTGCGACGCTTGGGTTGCCCTTAATGTATTATGATTGTAAAAACTTTTGGTGGGGTAAAAATATATAGGAATGTTTTTTGCTTTTTTATTATAAATTAGTGTATATTGATTAAAATAAATTACATTTATTTTATAAAAGAATGATTTTTTTGTTTAATTTTCACAAATTATGCACAAAATACTATTAAAAATTTGGTTTTCCAACTTTGAAATTAGCTTAATAAAATCTATTAAGTTGTATTCAAGTAAGATATCTACAGAGTAATAGCAAATAATATAACAATTCATATGACATAAGTTTTATACATAGCTTCCATACAATATTTTAGAGAAATTACTAATTTAATCGCCACGCGCCGATATCGCGAAATCACCTCCTAAGGCCCTAGCAGACGCGACATATTTGCAAAATGACCGGCCGGCAGACGAGGGGATATAAGTGGTACATACCTGTCATGTTAATAATAATAGCTATGAATAGTGTTGCAACTCTGCAACAGATAATAGAGCAGGGCTTTGCACATTACATACATTAAATTATGTAGTATGTAGGTTAAGTTCAACTAAAATTGTTAATTATTGTTTAACACGTTAGCTGTCCAGTGCACTGAATACAGTATACGCCGCTTGGGTTTGTCTTGTCCGTGTACCCTAAACGGCACCCCTGACTCTTTTGTTTTGAGCTCTAACTTCATGGACTTCTGAGTTAGTTTGCTCTATTTGTCAGGACATGTCAACGTAGCACCAATAAATTAAAAAGAAACTTAAAACATTTAAAAAAATTTCTGTGTGGGTAATTGCAAAAAATAAGAAAATGACTTTATTTGTGCAATGGAATACCAAAAAAAACATTGGAGACAATAAGTTTTTGCGGTGCATTGTCACTCTTTTGGCTTTTGTTCTTGCAGTTTTTGGAAGACTCAATGTCAATAAGTTTTTTTATAACACCCAAAGCAACATCTTCCTATAGATATACCCCTAACATTGCCAATGGGTTCTAAAAATGTGAGCTCCTATTGGATCGTAACAGTGTACTTGAGGATGATGAAGACAGGCTTTCGAATGGCATTTGTCTCAATATTTCGTTTTTATTTAAACTAGACAGGTCCACGGTACGAGATAAGTCTACACACTATTTCAACTCGATAAGTCAAAAGGTAAGAAAAACCGGATAATTAGTTATTTATGTGGGCTAACTATTCATAATTAGTCATTTTGAATCAATTTGATTAAGAATATTACTAAAACTGATTTCAGACATCTGGGGTTATTGAAAAATTCCTTATGGGGACAGTTAACTTGTTAAGTTTATATTTATCACATTAAGTATGTGATAAATATACACTTAACAAGTTATTTAGGTATATATTGAAAATATTTAAGGAAACACTGGAGTTGTAAAATATCTTTGCTCTTTACCCGACTTAAGAAAGGAGGTGGTTCTCAATTTGACTGTATTTTTTTTAATGTGTGTTACCTCAAAACTTTTTTCTAGGTGAACTAATTTTGATGATTCTTTTTTATTTGATACCTGATGCTTCTTAAGTGGTCCCATATTTGATCAAAATCTGACCAGTAGTTTTTGAGTTATCCTTAATAATACATATTTAATTGACTTGGACTACATTGGTGATGTTCTCATTTTATTTATATTTGTTGTTGGTTGTACAAAATGTTTAATTTTACTACTTGTTTACCATTAGCCTGATATGTTCAGTGTGCTGCAGGCTTATCTAAAATTTAAAATATCTGTTTTAATTCTTATACTTCAAATGTATGGATTAGATGTGTTGCAACATAAAGCCTGCTCTCTGTGACCTGTTTCATTTTTCAGATCTGACATATTACTTATTCATTTTTTCAAATATAAGACCTGTGCCAATTTGTACTACTGAAATTGTGAAACTTCTCCGCTTTGTTTACCACCAGACATGTTGATGGGTCTTAAAAAGATGTGAGCCTATTCAAACTTCATCATAATTTCTAGATTATTAATTACATTATTGGATGTGATGTTACCCTGTGACCCTACAAGTCCACATTTTACATTTGCCTGTCATAATGTTCTTTGATTTTCTTTTATATATGGGACTAGTGGACTTCAGATTTTATATATTTTAAAATGATTTTGAAAAAATAATCTTTTGTAAATGTGGTCAACAGAGAATACTTAACCCACTTAATGTTAACTGATCACTAGAATATATATAGAATAAAATGTTTCAATGGTCACTAAGACTCATGTCACTATGCAAGAGTAGCAGGCTTTATGTGGTAGAGTTATATTACTAGTATAGTTGTAGCACAAATGGGTTGGCTCGACTGGGGAAGGACTACGCTCTCCCAGAATACCAACGTAAAGTAGCAGCTTAATGCTTCTGTGTTTCGTGTAGAGTGCTGTGTGTCGTGTGTGTGAGTGTAGAGAGCCAAAGACCCTTTTTACTGCAAACGAGGCATTCCATCTCAGTCCTCAGGGCTGGCAATGCATCTGCATAATGATTTCTTATATTTACGCGAACACTACACATTGAAATAATACTAGTTTTTACGGAATTTATCGCGTATATTTAATTTTATTACCCGACGTTTCGTAGATCGGAACAAAAGTTAAATTTTAATCTATGGTAACCGCGGTTAACTATGACAGCTGGACGTTGAACATCTCAGTCCTTCCCGTGACCATGGGTGCTGTAAAGCTCTCGAAACGTCGGGTAAAAAAAATTAAATATACGCGATAAATTCCGTAAAAATTAGTATTATTTCAAAATGCATCTGCATTTTGATTCTTAATTGAAGATAAATGTAGAGGTCTATGGGCCACAGCAACCATTTACCATCAGGTGGACTATGTGCTAGTTTGTCACCCTATCCTATAAAAAAATACAATGTTATGGTTCAACGGGTACATCATTTCATAGCACTGGATCTTATATTATGTGTGTTACAATATCCAGAAAGGTGGGAATGAGTAAGTGACCAGTGTATACTGTAATACTGTACTTTAACAGTAGTGTTGTTGCAGTATAAGAATATCCACTACCCCATATTGTCCTGTGGGTTTAGTAAGAGGCAATAGAGGGAAATTAAAACAGGTGGTAGGCAACAGCTTCTTCCTACTAACAACTTAAAATAACTGAAAATTGCAGTTTAAAACCCAGTCTCCAAGTGTGTAAACTATGGCAAATTCTGAGCCAATCTGTGTGGGGGCCTATGTTCAGTAAAGGACTTTTATAGGCTGTAATGGATGAATTGATGGTCTTACCACTTATATTTACAAACATCTAATTCAACTTTGCTAAAGCACAATTAATTTATTTACCCACATTGTTTTGCAATATTGGTTTTCTTTTCTTTCCTGTCATCATTCACCGTCATCATTACAGCACCTCACAAGTCCACAGCTGAACATATGCCTCCCCGAAGGAATGTCACAAACCATAATCATGAGTTCACCTTCATCTATTTATCCTACTAGTACATAATTATTATTTTGTTATTTTGTTTTAATAATTTATTTTCAGCAGTGGACTTATGAAGGGCTGTAAAGAT